GTGACTCAGGTCATCCTTTGCTTTCTTTTCTTTTTTCTTGCATGTATCCCTACAGTCTAACTAATCTTTCACCTGTTGGGATTATCTTCTCTTTTTTTGTTTCTTAATGTTAATGTGTTTTGTGTGTGTTTTTGCTCTCTATGAGTTTATCCTATAATAATTATTGTTGCTACTCCATTGTGTGTGTGTGTGTTCTTGGAGACTCTCTCTCTCTCTCTGTGTGCCTGGGCTTGCACTGTGATGGTGATGAACTGCTTTTTGCAGTGGGAAAAAAGAAAAGAAATAATAATAACAGATGAATTTATATTTATAATTGCTTGTATACACGCACATATATAGACTTACACCCATAATTGGTGTATTTCTGTGTTTACTGGTAAATTGGGCTAATGGTTAATATCTTTTTATTTGCTTATGGTTTGCTTGTGGTTTGCTGGTGCGTTGTGTGTGCTTTGGCCTGCAACGTTGTGGTGATATGCTTTCTGCAGAAACAAAAAAGAATAACAGATACACTTGTACTCATTATTGCATAAGAATTCAAACATAACCGAATTTATCTTTTGATTTTGTTGTTTTGTGTGGGCCGATGTTTTTCCATTTAATTTCTTTTTTTTCCAGTTTGCTTGTGGTTCTTTGTGTGGTGTCGATTTAATGGAATCTTTATTCTTCGTAATGATCGTTATTTTGTTTTGTGTATGTGGGTGTGGTAACTCATGTTTTGTTTTTTACGCCGTATTTCATTGTTTAACTATTTGTCTACGATGACTTTTTTCTCCCTTGTTATGTATTTCCTTAACCAGTTCAGCTGCCTAAAAAGAAAAGGTAAGTCTTGCCATGATGCTGCGACGCGTGTTTTGTTTTCTGGTTTTGCTTCTTAGCATTACCTGTGTGTGTGTAGCAAACGAGGAGGTTAGAGCAGAGGTACTTGCACCTGGTCTTGCTCCTCATCCTAATTCACTCCCATCTTCGGGTGATCTTTCTTCTGGTTCTTCTGGTCCTT